GTGTGTCCTCCTCAATGCTGCTGATCTCTGATGATGTTTCCATTGAGTCAATGGCATTTAAAGCCTCTGTCACCCTGTCTGTGTGGCTGTTAACCTGGTTATTCAGMCACCAGCTTATCAAGGACAGGAAACAAAACACTCTGGTCTGTATGTCTGCATACATGCCCTTATGTGCCTTAGGAACAGCCAGTGGACTTGAACTGAGTTCTGCAATCTTTCCAGGTATGATGTGCACATAGATGAGATCAGAAAGCTGTTTTGTGAATGCAACAACCTTTTCAGATGTAGGCTTTTTCAGTGTTTCAGAAGCACAACTTTCATTTCCACCTCCCTGCTTCTCCTGCTTCAGAAGCACAGCATCAATACTAGCTATCAGAGAGGTTATTGCCAGCCTGCTTTTGAATTCAGTCTCCTTCTTAAATTTCTTTGCGACCTGTGTCAGTATTTGGAGCGTCCCTGCTGATGCAAAAGTCTTTATGAAAAGCCTATTGATTGTCCGCATTCCTTTATGGATTAAGGAGCTTGGCTCTTGAGATTCCCTCCCCTTTTTGCTTTCCTTAAGGATTGACTCAATAATTTCATCTAAAGCCTCATAAATCTCTCGAGAAATCGAAGCATTGAGCTTAAGACTGTCATTGAACTCATTAAAGAATGTAGTGATGTCAGTCAAACTATTGTGGATTGTTTCCTGGATAATCCTCTTTACACTTTCTACACTACTGGTTGGTGAACCCTCTGAGGAAATTCCCAAGTTGGAACTGATTTGTGACGAGTGGGAGCTTGAAGAGGTCCTAGCCATATGAACAGAATGGTCTGTAGTGTTCTGCTCTTCTGAGGAAATGGAACGACTTTGCCTGTGAGATTGACTCTTGAACAAGCGTTTGATCTCTTTGTCTGCCTTTAACGTCTTGCAGGTGACCTCCGTAGAGAGGACCCACTCCCAATTTAAATATTATTTATTTAAATATAAAAAACCCATTCTAGAGAAAGAAAAACAATTCATACAATTTAGAGGAAACACACTAGTGAAAACATCACTAGGATTATTTTATAATTAAATTTCTGCCAAAATCTCACTGTGGTAGTGGGGGGTGGTCAGTGTCGGGTGCAAGAGGGAGAGAGTGGGCAGGTGGCTCAGGGATTGGTGCCAGGGAGAGAGTCTGATTGTGTACAGGTGTACTGTGTTTGCTAATGACTCTCTCCCCCCTCTTATCAGCAGTAGCATGCTGGGACAAAGGGGGACACGCCACAAGAAGAGAGAAGCGACCGGGAGGACACAGAAAAACGAGTGATATATGCAGATGTACATGTGTGTGTGAAAAGAAATAAAAGAACTTAATTGAGCACTGTCTGGCATCATCCGTGACGAGGAACCCGCGGTGGCACTAGCGTTCTACACTCACCTAAATCTTACGCACTGAACCTTTAAAGAGTACTTGCTTCTTGTGTTTGCTACACAGCAGTGGTGTGTGGTCAGAGGCGCTGCTTGTGAACAGACAAGGCTGGCAACTACTTGAGGGGGCCCCTGAGGGCTGAAAAACTTTAGCAGTGTCTCATAAAGTGGTCAGGGACTAGAACAGAAATGATGTAGGTGTTTATTTGCAAATAGGGCGGGGAAGTGAGATCCGATCATTAGACGCATGTGGGGCCACATGTTAATACCCGGTGTGAATTCATGCACTCAGAGCTGTCCATATAAAAACTACATGTTAATACCAGGTGTGTACAGGGCCATTCTCAAAGTTTGTATTGAAAATGAAAGTTAAGAAAAATAGGAGTTATCCATCTGGAAGTGAAAAAAGAAAGAGAAAACAAGATGATGAGGAAAAAGGAAAGCAAGACAGTAGTAGGTCAAGCGGATAACAGTATAATTGAATGCTGTCATTAGCATTGACTCATGGGAGAGACACTTGAATTTAAGTCATTATGTTATTTATAATGTTGTAAATATTCTTATTGTGCCATGTGAACACTGGCTCTTCATGTCTTTGTTTTAAAATTGAATTATTTAAAGGTCCAGTGTGTAAGATTTAGGTGAAAGGGAACTATTGTAGAATAATCGTCATGATATTTTCACTAGTTTGTTTCATATAAATTGTATGAATTGTAGTTTTCTTTACCCCAGAAAAGGCTCTTTATATTTAAATACTTTATAATTACATGGAGGGCACCCTCTCTACAGAGGCCACCATGTTTTTCACATTAGTCCAGATACAGTAAATATCCAGAAATAACCCAAGATGAGTGTATCGTGTGATGTAATCCAGTCAAACTAAAGAAAATTCTTTAAAGATGTTAATACAATGGAGGTGAATGGAATTTCATTTGTTGCATTACACCTTTACGAAGACATTGTTAACCAACTAAATCTGCAATGATATTTCCGACCACAAGGAGACCCCAGCCACACATTGTCTTATTAATTGGGTCAATTTGTGTTTTCTGCCCCGAGTGAGGATGAACTAGTCTTTCTCATGTTCAGTAGTGCAGCCACCATGCAGTCTGTGGCTTTCCTTCACTGAACCACACACTCATGTGCCCAGTCATTAATAGAGCTTGTACTTTGCCAAGCCTTCCGGTCCTGGTACCTGGATAGGTTTATCACAGGACACCTGGATTCATGTTATAATTACCCATGAGGATGTGCTGCAGGGTGTGGTGCTGCAGGGTTACTGAGTCGTGTCCTGCTTCTTTGTCCTGGTTCATGTCCAGTAGTGTCAGATTAGACAGAGTGAAATACAGAGTGGTTCTGTAAAGCTTCAATATCCACTCCACTTACACTTCATTAGTTTACCAATACAATATATTGCAATTCAGTAATGCAAGTGTCATTTAATATGATTATAGTAAAAGGGTGGGAAACATGAATTTGTATTTAAGAGGAAATAATAAAGATGTGGTTAATATGTTTGAAGATGTCTAATAACAAATCTATGTGTTTGTGCCCTATATAAAACCTTAATCCAGTTCATTAGCTCTACCACCACCTCTAAACAAATGATTTTAGTTGAAACTACATTTGTTTTTAAATGTTTGAGCAAAACATTGGAAAACACATCACAGTGTAATCCAATCTAGTCCAGTTCAACACCACTGCAAAAGAGACCAGCAGCATTAAACATATAATTAAATGAATACCTCTCAATTACAGCTTTGTAATTACAGCACGTCAGTGGATGTTTAATTATGATTTTGTACATTTTTTGTCGATCCACCTTATTTACCAGATGACAATGACTGAAACTCAATACATTTCAAACAAAATATCTAATAGGTTGTAATCTATGGTTGTAGTGTAGCAGAAAGAGTAGTCCTATGGAGCTCTCCAGAAAGAATTATAATACCTCTATTTACCACTAGATGGGGCTCAATGCTTTGTCTTCCCACAGCTTCTCCTTTTATGGTTTAAAAATTACAGTAACTACAGACGCTTCCATAACCACAGTAACGGAAACTAAAGGAGGAAACTTAAGGCTCAGTGTGTAAGATTTAGGTGAAAGGGATCTATTAGCAGTTATTAAATATATAAAATATTGAATATAAAATAATCCTAGTGATGTTTTCTCTACTGTGTTTCATCAAATTGTACAAATTGTTGTTTTCTTTACTCTAGAATAGGCCTTTATATTTAAATACTTTATATTTACATCAGGAGTGGGTCCTCATCATGTTTTTTCTGTTTCAAGTAGGTCTATAAGGAGAGACATTTAATTTGATTATATGTAGTCATTGTTACTGACGGCAACATTTTTCAATATCTTCTTTTGAAAGGCTCTTCGCATTCAAGCATCATTAATGAGATAATAATGAGAGCCTGGTGGACTGTTCTGCCCGTGGAGTGTCCACATGATGTCATCCAGTGTGCCATGGCCAAGAATCATGTAGCAAGACAAATGTAGCAAACAACAAGAACAAAATATGCTTGGATGAAAATGTGTGTTTTTGCAAAGAATGAGATTAAACTGATGGTTTAACTCAATGAGTTTAAAAAAAGAAACGAGAAACACCATTGCAGTACTTGCTCAAAGAATAATTCAGTTTAAAATGCTGGATAATAAATAAACTGACAAGTTAAGGGTTAGAGTTAGTTCAAAGTTCAAAACTTGAAAATAGATCCCAAAAAATGACCAAAATCTTCAAGGCTCAGTTAAAGAAAGTTATGAAAGGAAGGATAACACGGATGATTGATCCTAAATACGCATCTTTTGTCTGAGTAGTAATCAAATATTTTTGTCTTTAGGCAGCTTAGGAGGATACTTTTACCTGCAAGTGTATTTTCCTTACTGTACTTTAACGTTTGCTAGGTAGAATTTGTAATGCAGAGCTCCTACTCCAACAGGGGGCAATTCATTTGGAACAGCTTGTACAAAAAAACATTCACAGACAAGACACAAGGGAGCTAAATAAAGGATAAGAATATATTAGACTGAATAAAAAGTCAATAAGAAAGGTAATGACAGTAAAACATGTGGAATAAAGGTAGAGGGTTAACGTTATATGTAAAATATGGATATTAGAAGGGGTTAAAGATTTGGGGTAGTGGAGAGATTTATAAGCAGGTAATACATCTTGATAGCAACAAGGAAAACTTACAAGTAATAACATGTTCAGAAGACAATGGGCTATCCAAAGGATTTGCTGGTATTTAGTACCTTAGGGCTTCACCTTACACTTATATTTTTTACAGTATTTTGATGATCAATTAATCTGCCATTTACTTTTTTTTTAGTGAGTAACTGTTTTATCTACTAAATGCCACTAGATATCAGAAGACATTTATGTTTGACGAGTTAGAAACAGCAAATACGGACAGGTTTGCTTAATAATAACATATCATTATTGATTTTAGTCTCTATCATGCCGATTTAATTTTCAGTCGATCAATTGATGCATTTTTTCTTTGTTTCTCTCTGTCGTTCTTTCCTTCTTTCTTTGTTTCTTTCTTTCTGTCTGTCTTTCATTCTTTCCTTCTGTCTTTCTTTCCATCTTTCTTTCTTTGATTCTTTTTGTCTTTCTTTCCTTCTGTCTTTCTTTCCATCTTTCTTTTTGTCTTTCTTTCCTTCTGTCTTTTATTCTTTCTGTCTTTCTTTCCTTCTGTCTATTATTCTTTCTGTCTTTTATTCTTTTTGTCTTTC